CCTAGACCCTAAACCCTAAACTCCCAAGCCCTAAACCCTAAACCCTAAACCTAGCAAGTTCATGGGCTCCTAGAGACTCGAAAACTTTTTCTCTCCGAAGCGTCAGAACCAGCAGGCGGAAGATCAGAGGCAGCCGGCCCAAGAACTCCTCCACGCCAAGGTGCTTAAGGGTTTGGGGCTTCGGGTGTGTGGAGTTTGGGGGTTGAGGGTTTAGGGTTCAAGGCCCTGGGGTTTTGTTGGTTTTGGGGGTTTACGGTTCAAAGTCCTGATCTTTTGTTGGTTTGGGGGTTTACGGTTCGAAGTCCTGATCTTTTGTCGGCTTGGGGGTTTAGGGTTCAAGGTCCTGGGCTTGAAGTGCCCCAAAGTCCGTTGAGCACGTATGCCTCTTGGATGTATCTGTAGTTGCTGGCGCTTTGGCCGCAGGAGTCTCTGGTCCCAGTAAGGGTTGGTGTCCTAGGGACCTTGGCAAAAACTGATAATGGATTCAGAGAGCATCTTCATGCCATTTCTGGCGCCGAAGAGCTTCAGCAAGTCAAGGATGCCTGTTGAGGGAATTCCAATTCAACTGGACAAGGAATCGGCACAAACTTTGGCCCAGAGCTGCCGACCCAGGGCCCTTGCTGAACATGACCCGCACAGGAGGCCTCCTGGCGGCCACCGGTGCTATTCAGCCTCAGCGACAATGAAGGCTTCTACATCAGAAAGGAAGCTGAAACTGTCGATGATGCTGAGCTTACTTCACAAAATTATTTCGTATGACACAGCTGGGTCCAGGCTCAACTGCTGCAATGAAGGTGCTGCCACGAAAAATGTAGTACTGCAACAGCAACAACTTCCTTCATATGAGGCCTACCGCTGCTGCTTCCTATCGAGGAGCCATCATCTTCAGTTTCGCCCAGACCCCAAGCCTACACCCCAAACCTTGAACGCAGAACCCGCCCGGAAACATCTCCGCAGCACTTCTCCAACGCACCTCGTCTAATGAAGAAGCAAGCATACGGCTGAATCCGAGCTGCCATGGCTTTGTCAAGCGGGAGTTTGCGAAGACAAGGGCCCGGACACCGAACCCTAAATGATTGGGATCCTCCTTCTTATAAGGAGCCCCTATAGTACCTCTAATTCCCCGAAACTCCCAACTTGCACGGCGAAGCCACGACATGTCCACCTTAACTACCCTCTTAGGCATCCAGAACAGCCTGCCATGGGGCCTGGGCTTTTGAGTATTGTGGCTTCTCAGTGTGGCCCCATGGCAGTCCCTTCTGTAGCCATGCGTCCGACTCTGTGCCCTGGACTATAAAAGAACCCAGGGTTTCGGGAATGCGTTGGAGGAGTAGGGTTACGGACTTCTGAAGCCTTGTGGGGCAAGTTGCAGCTGTGAGATGCATCGGACCAGCGTCGACAACGCCTTGTGTGGATCCTTGGCATTACAGATTTGCGAGGTTTCCGATCGAGGGCTCTGCGATTCGGATTGGCCTTTAGGGTGTGTTTCGGAGCTTCGGCAAGGGGACACTGTCGAAAATCCCATGTAAACAGATCCTCCATGTAAGAACCCCCAAAAGAAACCTAGTGCTCAGATCCCACACAGGGCCTATGGAATTCACTGAAGCTCAGAACCCTAAACCCTAAACCCTAAACCCTAGGTCTTGCGGGCCTCTTCCTTCCGAGGCGCCGTAAAAGTCTCAATGGTACATTGCTCCCAGCTCCCGCGCGAGGCGCCACCGCCCAGCCTCGGCAATTCTGCAGTTGTTTAGAAAAGGCGCCTTAATAATCTCAATAATTAGAATAGGGTTTGGGGGATATTATAGTTTAATTTTACTAAGGAGCCCTAAGGAATAATCGGAACAATGTTATATTACAATGCCCCTTGAAAGCTATGAAAGCTAGGATTAGATTATTTAGAGGATCGGTAGATAGGTCTATACAGCCAGAGCCAGGGTAAAGCGGCAGCACCAACTTATCAGAGTTGCGAGGGTTCGAAGACGTAAGCTGATAGTCCACTTCTCAAAAGAGTTTAGGGTTTCATAGCAGCATTTAAGGACATCCTCACCACTTTGCCCATTTTCCCAACAGCTTCGAAAAGTCTACAGACATGAACCTTTAAACCCCACGCCTATCCTCAGCTATGAAACATGCATTACAAGGCTTCAGAGAAAGCCTCCTTCCCGAAACCCAAGAACACAGCAGCACATAACAAATTAAACACACTGCTGAGGAGGAAAGAGTTGCAGGTCGATGGCAGGAAGCCGCCCGGCGGGTGCGCGACCCACCTTCGTCGAGAGCTTTTCCAGCTCCCTGCACCCTGTATTTAGGGGCTGCGGATGAGATCCTTCTCCATATCACGGGCTTGTCGAGGCTATGTTCAGAGTTCCGCGCTGTAGACCCAAGTTTAGATGTGCGAGCAGCCTAAACTCAGGAGGAGCTGGCTCAAGGAGTGTCGAAGCAAAACCCCAAAAGCATCAGATGCAAAGAGCAAGGCTGGAACCAACCACCAGCCTTCCCGCCCTTGGCAGGGCACCTACCCTAAACCCCTAGTTAAACCCTAACATGTCCCCCACAGCTGAACGGCTGAAGGGTACATATTATGAGACCACAAACAGAAAAAGGGGCAATGAGGTTCGGTAAAATCTAGCAAAGCAAAGTTTTAGAAGATGGATTGCCCCGACCAGCCCACCTCCGGAAGCGCGAAGAACCTGGGATGGATTCTTTCAAGCCGAGGACTGTTGCTGCTGTTGCGCTCTTGCCTTTGAATGGCGTTGTGATTCCAGGACTTACTGATCGAAAGCGCTCTTTCGCAAAGTGCGGATATCATGTCAACTGTGTAGCCAGGTCCTGGCAGTACGACCTCTAGAGAGGAGCTGATATCATGCTGGTTTTGATGAGCTGACTGTGTTCCCAAGGACTCTTCGCGTAGATCAGCTGTGGCTTGTCGTTTAGCCGAGCTAAGTAAGGCTTGGCGAGACCATCTCTAGGAGCTATAAACATGGGCTAGGCTTCAGACAGGCTCATATGGGTAGTTCTCGAAATTAGGGTCACTTTTTAGGTCCCCAATATAGTACGGCACCCTTATAAAATGGACCCTAAAATGGGCCCTAATTCAGAAAACCA